TATTGCAGCCCATTCTCATCCCAAGGCGTCACCTAACTGACGCCTTGGGAAGCATTTTGACCATGATTCAATATCTGACAGGCACCCTTTAACGTCAGTTTGATGACGCCCTAGGATTGCGTGTAACCCTACCCCAGACCTAAACCTACCCGCATCATCTAACTGACGCTTTTTCTTTAGCGCCAGTTAGATGACGCCATAGGATTGAGTCATGTAACTGACGCTAAAGGATGCCTAAAGCGTCGAATATTGAAGCAAGGTCAAAAGGTGACACCTTGGGGTGAGAATGCATTGCATATTGTTGTATGCTATTTTTGTTTTCTACAGTATATTACTGTTTTAATGGAAAATGGTATGATATTATCAAAATTTGGGCTTTTTTTACATCAAGGGTTAACAGTGTAGGGTTAGGTTTAGAATAAATTGACATGTAATTGCAAAATTACTTATAGTCAACATAATGTCCAAAAGGGATTATCAAAATAGAAAAATTTCAACATTGATAATTATAAGAAATGCCTCTTGAGTAATAAATCAGCATGATTTCTGAAGGATCATGTGACACTGACGACTGGAGCAATGATGCTGAAAATTCAGCTTTGACGTTAGAAATAACTGACATTTTATTATGTTATTATAAATTGTACAAATATTTCACAATGTTACTATTTTTACTGTATTTGTATCAAATAAATGCAGCATAAGATACTTTTAAAAACATGGACACTTGTTCATTCACTTACATTCACTTAGTTCATTCAGAATTTAATCTTATATCAAAAGTGTCACTTTCCCACCACTGTGAAACTACAGCAATGAGTTACATGGACTACTTGTTCTAACACATCATGCCCAACCAAAATAAACAGAACAATTGTGTCTAGTAGAAACAGAGATATCAAAAATTACCATATGAATCTCAACAATGGTGACAAAAATTGCTTTAATTATTAAAATTATTAAAATATTTCACAATGTTACTATTTTTACTGTATTTTTTATCAAATAAATGCAGCATAAGATACTTTTAACGTGGACACTTTGTTAATGACCATGTTCATCACTAACTTTGTTGATGAGAGTAACATTGTTCTCTGGCCCTCACACCATGCACACGCAGTCGATCTATTAGTGTTTAAGGAAGTGGACAGTACCAGGTAATAGACTAGTAAAAAGGATGAACAAATTGCTCCTTCAAATTGGGCAGAGCTGCAGAAGAGCTGAAAATAGACATGCCTCGTTCTAGACTAATATTCGGATTCTTCAGTAGCCAAGCGACACCACATATCCTAGTGTAGGAGGCGGATACACATCATTTAAACCCGAGTGCTTTTCATATTTTCTGTTCTGTGATACAGGTGCTGGATGCATGACCGCACTTACAGAACTGCACTTACACTGCATTCATTAGTCCATTCCTCAGAGGATCAAATTAATATTTAATGGCCTTCTCCCAAAAGCCACGAGCTTCATATACCCTCATGCTAAGACTATGTTTGTGACATCGGCCAGACAAAAAGCTTCTCTTGGCATTACATTGAGAAATCACCTTTCATGTTTCAGCACTCATCTATGCTTGTGTTCTTCTGAGGGGGCTGAGAAGTAGCATGCGAAACTTTTCACTTTTCATGAAGTGAAAAGTGAAAATAGGAGCAGTCAAACTGCTCTCTGAAATGCTCCGTACTTGATGCACTCTGCACACTGGCCTTATTATTTGAACCAAGACACATTTCTGCCCCCGAATCAGAGTGTTAGCCGTGATATTTCAGTCTAACTTATGGGGTGAAAGGGATAAGATGAGTAAGTGAACTGTAAATTTGTCTATTCTGAGCCAGAATATGCAGAATAAATTGAAAGTGCCTGACATTTCCATTAAGGTGCACATTGGGAATGTGAATGCCTGGAGGCTTTTGTTTAAGCTGTCCGGAGTCATTCAGTTTTCAGCAGTATTTGTCATCAGCGGTGAAGTCAGTGTGATGAAAACCAATAATAATATTGGTTTTCATCACACTGTTCATAAAAATGTCCAACAGACACACACTCACTTAAATATTTCCCCGTCTCGATACGCTAACATATACATACAACTAATGCTGTGCTTCGTTTACCCAGCGGTACAGAGATGCGTGACCTAAAGAAGCCCAACTGAAAGAAACCTCCATTATCACAGCAGTGAGTTAATGTAAACGGGATCAATGCCGACAAAAGCAAAAGGCTTTCGTCACAGCGATACATGAGTGAGTGCAATCTAATTATGAGTGAAGTATTAATATCGCCGCTGTCAAATATACGGCGGAAATGAGAGACAGATGAGACAGGCGCATAAGATATCTTGAAGAGCAACATATATTTAAGGGTATTTGATTATTGTGTGCATACAGTCAAAGGTTGCTCAGTAACTCGAGATAACTTGAGATTAACTCAACCCAACCCTGTTCCTGTTCGTTTTATGTCTGCTACAGACTGTGCAATTTCAGAAATCCTATTAGATCATGATAAATCACACTGTATCTAATAAACTTGGGTACGACATGTTTGCAGACTGCACGATGATGAAACCTATTGGATCAAAGGCTACGACGCAAGTCAGTAAAACGTCATCAGCATATGCTAGTGGTAAACAAGAGCATTTGGCCAATTATGGTTTTTATGTGCGGTGAAAAAAAGAGGAAAAGGCGAATGAGGAGATTATGGATGTGGTCATGGCTAAGGAAAAGAGGCCACCTTGGCATGGCAATTTTGCAAATGGAGCTTGAGTTAAGTAGTTTTGAGTTTTAGCGTCATGTCCTGTTGATCAATACGCCATTTCATGATGCAATTTTTTGGGGTAGACAGTAGGTCGTAGCAGCAAAAACACTGAGATTATCGTGCAAAATGTCTGACGCTGTCAGAAAATTATCGCGCTGTAAAAATGAAAATGCTTTATCTAAGCAATAAAATTGTGGCAACAGATCACAAGCAATATTATTAATTAAATTTAACAAATTACAATTGAGTAATAATTAATCAAATATATTCCTTAAAAGTTAACCAGTCAAATGATTGTGAAAAAAATGTTACGTTAAAACATAACACCATCAGATAACCTTTTCTATTTGTTCATCTGACTGTTATAACTCGTTAATAAGATGACATTGATCAACATAATGGTGACTTAAAATGACGGTTTTCTCCTTCAGTGATTCTGCTTGTTAACATCAGGTGTCTTCAATATTGGCAATATAAAATAAAGAGTTCTTCATTCATCTTTGACGTCTATCTGTTATCCAGATTTATTGTTTATTTTTTTGTGTGTAAATTTTACTCATTTTAAATGGTTAACTTTTAATGAATTAATTTGTGAAATTTAATTAATAATATTGCTTGTAATCTGTTGTCCCAATTTTATTGATTAGATATTCATTTTTACATTGAGCTATCTTTGGTCGCAAGACCGTGAAAATGGCCGTCTTTGAAAGTCTCTTACTGTAAGACGTACGACCATCGTTTAGGAGCCACAATAGTCATTTTTTGTCTACAGTGCAAAATCATATACCAGGCATTAGATGTTTCCCTAAATCTAATTAAACTAATTAATTTACTCACTTATGACTGAATTTTTTGTAGGGTGGCCTCCAGGACTCGGGATGGGAATCACTGGATTAGCTAAATATTAACTAGAGATTCTGTCTTTAGGCCAGAAAATGTGACTGATTTGAAACCCAAAGGGTGGGCATGAAAGGGAGGGTTGAATATGTAATCATGAAAAATTGCCCTGCAACAAAGGATTAAAGAGGCCTCTTTAATATTTTTAATTTAAAAAACAACAACTCTTTCCTCCAAAACATTGCAATGCCATTAGCCTGATGTTTTACAACACATTCTCACTCCAAGGCGTCACCTTTTGACCTTGCTTCAATATTTGACGCTTTAGGAGCCCTTTAGCGTCAGTTACATCCTACGGCGTCATTTAACTGACGCTAAAAGAAAGCGTCAGTTAGATGACGCGGGTAGGTTTAGGTCTGGGGTAGGGGTAGGGTTTCACACGATCCTAGGGCGCCATCTAACTGACGCTAAAGGGCGCCTAAAGCGTCAGATATTGAAACATGGTCAAATGCTTCCTAAGGCGTCAGTAGGTGAAAACATGAATTCAGTTATTTAATTGTGTTAATGAAGAAGCTGACCATTTGTGGTTTTTAAGCGCTCAAGGTTTAGCTGATTAGCATTTCCATTTAAAAGTAGCCATGTATTCTGATCAAATACATTTTGTATTTTCAAGACATTTCAAAATGTCATTTTATTATACACATGTTTCGCTAGTAATTTTTGGAGGACCCTTATACACAACGTTTTTCCTTGTCTGCAGCTGTAATTAGTCACATCATGGCATTTAGGATCGGATGGTTGGCTCAAAGTAACCTGGCAGCGCAAATGAGAAGAAAATGGTGTATAAAATATTTAATAATCTGCACCAGTTGAGCAACTGTCATTGAGATGAGCTTGGGAATGCTGATAGATTTCTACAGGCATGTAATGTAGTCTTCTTATAGGGGTTTTAGCAGACATCCTTTGAGAACAATGTGCTCTGCAGGTTTTGTTGTTGAAAACATCAAGAAAAATATTGCCACGCGTAAGTGATAAAAATGCAAATATAAACGGTTATCACTTTAGATGAGACTTCAGTTAGGCCTATTGTACCAGTACTCTGTTCAGGTTCTAATCATTAGCCAACCACAGCATTATATATTTATTTCAAGTAAAATGGATGAGCATAATTATGGTGATTTGTCCTTTCCAAATGCTGCATATTGCTGGTAAAATCGATATGTTTACTTAATGGATTAAACGCGAAATCTATTCATAGGGGAAAACTAGTGACGACTGGAGCTGTATGGGTCCATTTCGCTTAATTGAACGAGAAAACTGCATCGAGGCGCGGGCTCTTAAATGGGGGGAGTGTGTGAGAGAGAGAGAGGGAGAGAGAGAGAGAGAGAGAGAGAGAGAGAGTAGTGTTTCTCAAATGCCATTCAACATCTGTCGACAACTGAAAGACACGAGCGAGATAAGACGGCAAAACTAACTAAAGTACATCACGAATATCGGTGAACTTTGACTTACAATCATGATTTCGCAGAATTGAACGAATGCTTCAAGAAAGAAGAAAGCGGGGACGCGAAAAAGCCGCGTGCATGGATCTCACATACATCCATCATCCCACGCGCGCTGTTCTCCAGGCAAAATCCAACATGATTCGCGTAATGAAACTGTTCGCGGCGAGGTTTTAATGGAGGTGGAAGGTGAATCTCCTGACAGCGAGCTTGAGTTTTAGTCGCCGTTAGTTACAGATGTACAACATTTCTCCTCATCGCAGAGTTCGCATGGCTCCAGTTGGAGACACCAGAGCTTGGAGAGACATGTGCGGTCTTTAGCAGCAATAATCGCGGGCAGGGAACCAGTCTGAACGGTCGATAAAAGCAATAAATCCACACTGAACATAAGTGACCCGTCGCGCTATGAGAAACTTCAGGGAAAGCGCTTCACCGGCGACCGCGCGGATAATACGACGCCTCGTACTGTTTTAAAGTGGAGCCTTTCTGACAAACAGGAACTTTTGGGGATTTAACCTCGACACAGTCGCGGAGATGACAAGAAAACAGGACGACATTGCGCCATCACCTGTTATCTGAACACTGTGATTAGTTCTCACAAAAGCACTGAATCTTTATTGCCTTTGGACCTGCTTTCTATACATTCCGGCGTTGGACATGGAGACTAGTCAGTTACGGACAGTAGACGGGTTGATTTCTTAATGTGCGAGAATACATAGCCATATCGTTTTTATTCCTCTCAACACATTGCGTTCGGTACATCTGTTAATTTTGCACTATGATGGAACCGCCACCGTGCTCTAAAAAGAGCCTGTCTCTTTCGCTGCCGGTTCCCCGGGAGGGACAGGCGACCCTTAAGCCACCCCAGCATTTGTGGAGACAGCCACGGACCCCCATCAAAATCAAACATCGCGGTTACTCTGACACCGACCGACATCACCACCGACAGATAGAGCGCTCGAATGCCATGGACACGAGTGACCGGCCGGGGCTCAAGAAGTCCCGCATGTCCTGGCCATCGTCGTTCCACGGAACCACCAGCGCGTCCATTAGCAACTGCGCTGGGAGTAAGCGGTAAGAAAGCCGAGTGACTAATTACGTGTGAACAAACGAGCTATTTCTGTGTGATGGACGCCCAAAACTGATAATAATGATGCTGGAAGGGTTAATAGTGCTTTGTGTGGAGACTGGAGAGGCGGGACGCGTGGGCATCCTTGATGATGCGTTGTGCGTAACGGCTCCAGCAGCTCTCAGAGAGCTCGATGCCTCGAACGTGACCCCCAGAAGTAACCTCAAATCAGTTATGAGCAGCTGATGGCATACTTACAGATAATGCTAATGAGCTGGATAAAAAAAGTGGAAGACGCGCATATAATGGGGTTTTGGAGAGCCCTAGCCCTGCTTAAAGTCTAGAGCGACTGATCTGAAAGTTTTACAATCATTTAGGATCATGGCATATGCGCTTTCGCTCTTGGCACGTGCAGACACCATATGCGCACGCCAGAAAAATTAGCATGATCTAATCAAGCTCTTCAGTATCATGTTAGTGACATAATTGGGTTTTAAGACAATGCATAACATGTTCATTTGTGTACAGGTTTGTGATACAGTCTCCTCTGGCTTTTATGATAATAATTATAAACCTATATTTTTTATTACATAATACAGTTCAATACAAATTATAATTGCATCCATTGTTTCTATGAAGAAACTTTAACATCCATCAGACCGTTTCCTTTCCAAGGTTGTTTTATAGAGCATAAAGGATTGAAATGTTCGTCACAAAAAAATGGTTCTTTTAAGAACTGTTCAAGGTCCCTCGAGGAAACAAAAGTGGTTCTTCTGTCATCACAGAAGTGGAACCAGCTATAGTGGAAAAAGGGGCTTTAGCCCTGCAAACATTTGGACGTTTAATGACCATTGAAAAGACGATGTCCAGTGATGGTTTAAAAAAAATTCCAAAATCAAAGTTGAATGGGCCATCTATTTGTCGTTATTCGATTTCTGCCATCCTACCGTGCTATTTTTGGCCAGGGACGTGTTGTTACTGCAGTCAGACAAATGTTTGCTGGGAGAATATTAAAATGTTCTTTGCACTAAGAAAAAAACGGCTTTCAGATCTGTTCACCGAATTCAGAGAGTTCAACTTTTTATTTACATTTAAATTACACAATAAAAGCAACAGTAGTTGGCAATTGTGCTGTACCCGAAAGACCGCAAAACAAACGACCAATCAGAAAAATCCAACAAAACAAATTTAGAAAATAGATTTAGATAATAGAAATTTAATAGATAATAGAAAATAGAAATTTAAAAAAGAGATTTAGATTTAAAACAGACTCTGTGGATACAAGTTTTAGGGATAGAGGAAGACTTTTCCACAATTTTGGACCCACAATAGAAAAAGCACGGTCACCTTTCGTCTTAAGTCTAGATCACGAAGTTGAATATGGTGTTTGGCAGAAAAGCCGACGCATGCACCGAAAGAACAGAAACACTTTAGGAATTTGACTTGCACTGCCACAGCACTGTTGTAAATAATCAACTTGAATCAGTTTTATACAGAGAAACACATTTGTCAGCCTGACATTGATGTCGATTTTGTGGGTTTGCATGATTCGGTGTAGCGTACAATACACTGCTTTTACCCTCAAGGATGTGTGTGGGTGTACGTGGATGCGCATACAGACTGATGTTAGTGCTGGAAGAGGTGAAATGTGACGTCCCTTTGAGTGGCGCCTTACCAAATTAGGTGATTATTACAGTAATAATCTGCTTCTGTGAGGGCTGTGAGCCCCAGGGGAGGCCGAGAACCTTCCTTCCTGTCAACTTTTTTTGCCTAGGCCACAGACGGTCTTCACCGTAGGCTCCTGGGAGACAGGCCAGCTCGGACTGACTGTATAGTAAAGCCTGATTTGTATTCCCTTCCCCAGGACACGCTCACAGGCAGTCCAAGAATTAGTGCAGCAGCAATGGCTCGGACTGTCCTGTTTCTACTGTGGGCGGGCGGCACAGTGCGAGAAATAGAGAGCGAGAGACAGAGAAAGCTGGCTGTGTGTACGTGTGGCTCTGGTGATGTCACAAGAAGCAGAGTGAGATGTCCATGCCTATCTGGTCACTTTCTCTTCTCACTCATCAGTGTGTAACATGATCTGCCATGCAAAGGCATAGGTCTTAACAGGCCTTTCAGTATGTGAGTGTTTAACCCTCTGATGGTCTTCCTGTATGAGTCACGTCCTGGGCCTTCCCGGTCAGAAGTGACCGGAGGCCTAAAAATGAACCTTCTTCCATTCCAGTAAAACCAATGCAATTTATTTTTGTTCTATAATATTTATTCTTTTTAATTTAGTATTTTGAGACAATTTGATTGAATTTATTCATATTTATGCAATATTTATTGTCTATTTTTTCAATGGATATATATATATATATAATTTTATTTTTTATTTTTTTAAAGAGAAAAAGCGTAGAATCATGGTGTAACCACTAGATTGTATGTACAGCTCTCTATGGAGAGGGATGTGAATTCCCCAGCTGTTTATGAACACTTTTTTGGTGGATTTTGGTGTATATATAGTTGAAACAATCTCAAAACCAATTTCTTATTTAAAAAATTGTAAAAAAAAAAAAAAAAAAAAAAAATTGTGAATTTTTGTGTTTTTGTCAATTTCCCATTCATTCCTATGGGGGTCATTTTTGACCGAAGACCAAAATCGTGACTAATTTTTTTTACGACCACTTACCATGCTCGGATCATGAACTCAATTTTTTTTGTGTGTTCACATCCCTAATGCCAGAAATGTCACCAAGTTTTGTAACCAAGAAATGTCACCAAGAATTTTTGTTTTTTGTAAATTTCCCGTTCATTTCCTATAGGTCGGTCATTTCTGACCGAAGACCACGAGTGTGACTATTTTTTTTACGACCACTTAGCATGCCCATGACCTCTTTTTTTTTTTGTATTCACATTACCAAATGCCAAAAAAGTCACCAAGTATCATAACCTTCCGATGAAGCTGTGATTTTTAATAATTCAAAACAGAAAATTATTCGGTCAGAAGTGACCGAGGAGGACCATCAGAGGGTTAAATGGATTATGCTCAATAACTTGACAAAGAACGGTCAACCTATACAGTGTTATTTTATTGGCTAAAGGTTTTAGTCAGTGTAAGCTAAACAGCAATTTTTGTTTTAATGTAAATACATTCACTGACATTTTGTTGGCTTATTCTTGCCCGCGTTGACATGTCAAAAACCGAATGTCACGTGAATGTGTTTTCTTATGTTGTATGGTTTTTATAATAAGTCGATTTTGCATGACGTATATGTGCGGGTGTGTTGGGGCATGTGTTGCTGCAGGCTTTAGAGAGAGACATGGATGATAATTAGCAATTTGTACGGTCACATCACAGAGGTGATGGTGGTGGAAGTCTTCATCACAGGGACACATTTTTATTTTCATTCTTTTTATGGAGATGTCCCTGGCAGACCTTTAATAGGAGCTCTAAGCCGTCTTGCCTCCAATGCACATTTATTGAGCTTAAGTAATATACTGCCTAGCCCTTGAGGACCCCCTCCTTGTCATCTGTTCCTCTGAGCCTGCGGCTAAACTCAGATCAACCTCGTACTCAGCTGCATGCCCAATAACACACTGATGTCACGGTTTGCCGTGTGATGCTCTTGAGAAAGATGAAGTTCACTTACAGATTGGCTGCAATATGCTATTTTAAATATGATGTCTGTGTGTCTCTGTGTTGCATAGACTCTCAAGTCAAGAACGCATGATGTTTTCAGCATCTGCCATCTGAACACATGCACTTCGCCCCCAGAGCCGCTCTCGAGTAACTTCACCAGCATTTCAATATTTCATAAAAAAACAACAAAAATATTGTCATATCATATACACAGGGCTGGACATGAACACCCTCTATATTAAAGGAGTAGTTCACTTTTAAAAAAACTTTTCCAAGATGTCCATTTCATTCTTTCTTCAGTCGAAAAGAAATTAAGGTTTTTGATGAAAACATTCCAGGATTTTTCTCCATATAATGGACTTCAATGGGAACCAAACGGTTCAAGGTCCAAAAGACAGTTTCAGTGCAAACTTCAATCTGTTCAAAGGGCTTTAAATGATTCCAGATGATGAATAAGGGTCTTATCAAGCGAAACGATCTGTCATTTAATAAATAAATAGCAAAGTTTAAGTTTTATAAGCACAAATGCTCGCCTTGCTCTGTTCTGACTCTTCTATTCAAACTCGTTCATCAAAATGAACAAATATTTTTCCGAGTCAAATTGTTCATTTCGTTCGTTGAATGAACCAAATGACTCGAAAAAAGATTCGTTCATTTTGATGAACGAGTTCGAACAGGAGAGTCATGAACGCTCATCACAGAACAGAGCAAGGCGACCATTTGAGCTTATACTTATACCATTTGAGTTTTTTTTTATTTTTTAAATGATCGATCGTTTCGCTTGATAAGACCCTTATTCATCGTCTGGAATCGTTTAAAGCACTTTGAACAGTTTGTAGTTTGCACTGAAACTGTCTTTTGGACCTTAAACCATTTGGTTCCCATTGAAGTCCATTATATGGAGAAAAATGCTGGAATGTTTTCACCAAAAATCTAAATTTCTTTTCGACTGAAGAAAGAAAGACATGGACATCTTGGATGACATGGGGGTGAGTAAATGATCAGCAAAAGTTTTTTTTTAAATTAAACTACCCCTTTAATGTAGCGCATATAACAGAGCGCATATAATATATTTTTTTCAATTGTAGTCTTTTAAAAAGGCATCTGAAATAATAAACTAAGAGCAATTTAGTGTTGTCAAAAATACATATTTTTCAACACATATTGATACTGAAATATCTGAAACTCTTCCGCAGGATACACAATACCAGCTGTGCGTTCTCGCTCTCTAATCTCTCCGACAGCAAGTTGACACACAAACTCCTGTCCCTTTTACTCGCCTGTTTCATTTGCTCCAGATGAATATTGTTGGTGTTACAGGGCTTGAATTTTGGCTAGGGATACATGTCTGTGATCGGCTACATGTGCATCACTGCAACC